GCACGGCACGGCACGGCACGGCACGGCACAGCACGCACGCACGCACGCAGGCGCACGCAGGCGCACGCAGGCACGAGTGCGCGCGCGCGCGCTCTCGCGCACGCGCACGCGCACTTGCACGCACGCACGCACGCAGGCAGGCGCGCAGGCACGCAGGCAGGCGCGCAGGCACGCAGGCAGGCGCGCACCCACCACGCACCCACCACGCACCCACCACGCACCCACCAGGCACCCACCACGGCACGGCACGGCACGGCACGGCACGGCACGGCACGGCACAGCACGCACGCACGCACGCAGGCGCACGCAGGCGCACGCAGGCACGAGTGCGCGCGCGCGCGCTCTCGCGCACGCGCACGCGCACTTGCACGCACGCACGCACGCAGGCAGGCGCGCAGGCACGCAGGCAGGCGCGCAGGCACGCAGGCAGGCGCGCACCCACCACGCACCCACCACGCACCCACCACGCACCCACCAGGCACCCACCACGCACCCACCACGTACCCACCACGCACCCACCACGCACCCACCACGCACCCACGACGCACCCAACACGCACCCACGCACGCACCACGCACCCACGACGCACCCACGTCGCACCCACGTTGCACCTATGTCGTATCCACGCCGCACCCACCCACGCACCCACGCACCCACGCACCCACGCACCCACGCACCCACGTACCGAGGCACCCACGCACCCACCCACGCACCCACCCACGCGCCCACGCGCCCTCGCACCCACGCACCCACGCACCCACGCACCCACGCACCCATGCACCCACGCACCCACGCACCCACGCACCCACGCACCCACGCACCCACGCACCCACGCACCCGCACCCACGCACCCACGCACGCACCCACGCACCCACCTACACACACACACACCTTCCCACACCTTCACACCCGCACACTCACAAGACAAAGACAGAAGCATGATACAACAAAATACTTTGACCAGTGACTGCTGATGGCCAACAGCAACATCCTTTCATTTGCTCAGTCATAGGGTGGAACACGAGGACAGTTGCAGGTGAGATATTGAGAGGTGACCATGCAGTGGCCGGCTATATTTCTGTGTTTGCCAGTGCGTGCTGTTGGCATCTCCATTGCTTCAGGAATTGCAGGAGACTGGGAAAGAGAGCTTTGAGGAAGGGACGGAGCTTTGCAAATTTGAGGGCAGTGCGCCCGCCGAGACGCAGGATGATATTCCACGGCTCCAAGAAGATGAAGAGATAGAAGTCAGGCCAGGATTCAAGGAGTGGATCTGAAGGAAAACAACTGGTTTTGCTAATGCGCCAGAGCAAAGGTTTCCTGGTGTTGCAAAAGGCAGACTGAATCTGGAAGGCAGGCCTACAAGCCTGAGCCGGATGAGGAGGCAAGGGTTGAAATGCCCATGCGTCAAATGGAGCAAACATGAGAGCAGCCATGCTGGCAAGGAGGATGAGCTTATGAAGCTGTCTGTGCAAGTTGGTGACAAACTTCGGCGACTCCCTGGCAGTGGCAACGGTGGGAGCCTAAGTTACTGGTTGCATTTCCGTCTTGCACTTCAATCGTGGGGCTTGCGGCCACACTCAGAGCTGGAATGCGTCTCATCCTCTCTGAACACCGTTGTGTTTCAAACGCATGCAGCTGACAATGCTCGAGTTCACCTGTTTATCCATTGATTCAACACTGGATTCCAGTGAATTCAGATGTTTGCAATTCCACTGTGTAGGGACAGCACCTGTTTTCTGCACACGATGCTCAACATGGTTGGCGAAAGGAAACCACATCATCACTGAAAGGCTTATTTACACGCTGACGCGACACAGCCGGCCACCGGGCACCTTGCCCTGCCCGTTCTGTCACTTCCCTTTCCTGTAAGTCCGATGAGTAGATGTGAAGATCTTAAGATTCGAAAAACTTTGAGATTCTAAGGGTCTCAGATTTGAAGACTTTCGGAATTTAAGGTTTCAATGGTTAAAGAATTAAGGTTCTAAGATTCAAAGATTTAAGGCTTTTGAAGGTTATAACAGCCAGGCCATCGCCCAGCCATTTTCCATCCAAGGCTTTAAGATTGTATTTTTTGTGAGATTTTCAGATTTTGCGACTTTCGGAATTTAAGATGTTAAGATCTTAAGATGTCAAGACTTCAAAATTTGA